TTTTGAGACGGAGTTTCACTCATGTTACCCAGGCTGGAGTGCAATGGTGCGATCTCGGCTCACCGCAACCTCCGCCTCCTGGGTTCAGGCAATTCTCCTGCCTCAGCCTCCTGAGTAGCTGGGATTACAGGCACACACCACCACGCCCAGCTAATTTTTTTTGCATTTTTAGTAGAGACGGGGTTTCACCATGTTGGCCAGGATGGTCTCGATCTCTTTACCTCGTGATCCACCCGCCTCAGCCTCCCAAAGTGCTGGGATTACAGGCTTGAGCCACCGCGCCCGGCCCCCATTTTCATACCTAAATAAAATGGCTACAAGATGAAAAGCCACACGTCTCCCCCATATTTTGCTTATAAGGTAATTCCTAGTGAGCTGTTAAAATTTCGCCATGACAATGCAAATTGATAGCTTATCTTTACAGGTGCAGTCGCCCCTGCCCACCGCACACAAATGCATATCTGATTGCTCCCCATCCCATTTTGTCCAGATTATCTTATGCAAAATGCAGATTCCCTGCATTTCCCCTCTGCCCCATTCGCTTATGTCATCTTAGGTAAAAAATACAGATTCACTGAGCCAGACAAAAGCGTGAATAACTATTTTTCCCCATCCCCCTCTTCCATAAAAATTATGTACTGCTCAATTTCCCACTCTTTCCCCTTTAAATTTGGAGCCTTCAAAATCGTCTCCGGAGGAAGGCACAGGCCTGTCTCCCTGTGCACATCTTTAACTTTGGCAGATAAATCTCGTAGACTTGTGTCATCGTTTTTCTCAATTGACAACGTGGACACAAAGAAGGGAACACCAGACACCAGGGCCTCCTTGAGGGCAGACGGCGGGAGAAGAGTGGGGATGGAAAACCTACCTACCGGGTACTATGCTTATTCCCTGGGTCACGGTGACATAATCTGTACACCAAGCCCCTGTGACACACAACTTACCTATATAACAAACCTACACAAGGACCCTCGAACCTAAAATAAAAGTTAAAAACGATGCTCTATAAGCTTTTGCATCCGATTGGTGGTTGAGTCTTTGTTCTGAAGGTTTGCGCGTATACCCACTCAGTAAATTTATATGCTTCTTCTCCTATCAATTAAGCCGCCTCATGTCAGTGAGTTTCAGAGAAAATTTAGGGGGCCAAGAGCCGCGGCTCTCACAGAGCCTGATGAGACCATATCTTTAAAAAAAAAAAGCACTTCTCGCTTTGCAAGAACTCTTGGCACATATTAGTTAAAAAGATTGGGTACTCAAGGCCAGGCACAGTGGCTGACGTCCATAATCCCAGCACTTTGGGAGGCCAAGGAGGGCACATCACCTGAAGGCAGGAGTTCGAGACCAGCCTGGCCAACACGATGAAATCCCCGTCTCCACTAAAAATATAAAAATTAGCCGGGTGTGGTGGCACATGCCTGTGATTCCCGCTACTCGGGGGGCTGAGCCAGCAGAATTGCTGGAACCCAGGAGGCGGAGGTTGAAGTGAGCAGACCCACCACTCCCAACCATTGAAAGTGTTTTCTGTTCTGTTTGACGTAAGTGAGCTGCACCCCTAAACAATGTCCCGTTTGTTGGATGCTAGTTCTTTGCTCTGTTTACGTTTACCTAAACAGAGGTGTGTGTGTATGTGTGTGTGTGTGTGGCTACACCCACCCTCCTGGGGAACAGAAACCAGACAGCCCAGCACAGATAGGTTCTCAGAAGACCAGGCACCAGCACAGAGCACCCCACTCACCAAAGACTCCAGGTAGAAGGCCCAGGGCAGAATGCAACCGGGATCCCAGAAAGATGACCCCTCCCGCCCTCCGCCCACCACCGCGTGCCCAGATGCGGGGGTACCGTGTGTGTTGCCGGAGCTGTCATAACCGGAGTAGCCACCGCCGCCGCCTCCTGTTAGACAGAGAAGGTAGAGTTGAAGGATGTTCAGGGGTCCGAGCATGGAATGTCCTGCAGGTGTTGGTCTGTCCAGCTCATTGGGGTGACAACAAGTCATGTGACTGTGTCATTCCCAAGGGAGCTCCAAAGAGTAATCAGCAGCAGGGAGAGTCAAGGGAGGCCCCACCAAAGCTTCCTCGTCCCTGCGGGAAAACTCAAGCCAACACTGAGTTCTAGCTATGAAACACACTTTGCCGTCACAGAACAAACATTTACTCCGGGAACTCCAAGTTCCTGCAGGCTCACCCTCTTCCTGCTGAGAAACCGATATGAGAACAGCCACACCGAGGCAGGATTACAAGGACCTTCCAGAGGATGGCCTCAATCATAAATATTTCAGTTTCTCTTTTCAAAAATAACTAGTTATTTTTAGTTTATTCCTGATTGTTAACGTAATAAATTCCAAGACAATGCTCCTTATTTACTGCAAGTAAATGTGGCAGAACAGATGACTGGATGCAATCAGGGTGTCCAGCTTTGCAAAATATCTAGAACAATCCCTTATGTCTTCTAAAATAAAGCCGCAGAACTAAACACACCAGAAACCTCATGTGCTTGAAACTAAAGCCTCAAACGTCACACTCTTCAGCCCAGTGCTGCACGCATCTCTCCCTCCTATTGGCCATGCTTGCATTTCCATATGAAAGATTCTTGGTAGACATTCACCTCCAATTACAGAGAAAACTTTATACTAGAAGGTTTTACATATGTCTGCGTGCATAAAGATATATGTACACATATAAAGTATACATACACACACACATATACCTAAAACTATATATACACATATATAAAGGGACATATATACACATACATAAAAAAGTGTGCATACATATATGAAGGTACATATGTATATATAATAATATAGAAACATGTAAGCTATATACACATACATATATGAAAAGATATTAACAAATGCGTGCATGTACAAAGAATGCATATATACACATAAAATATATACTTACATATTTACACATAAAGGTTATATACAGATATATATCTATATATAAAGATATTTATACACATAAAGACACATACGTTGGTATATATAGAAGTGTACAAATAAATATACACATACATATATAAAAGCACATATACATAAAGGTATATATGTACATATATACAGATATATATAAATAAAGGTATATATTTATATACATGTAAAATACATATTTATATAATGTACACATATAAAAATGTGTATAAAATATATACGTATATAAAGATATACATAAAGATATATTAAAAGATATACATATAGACCAGGTGTAGTGGCTCATGCCTGTAATCCCAGCACTTTGGGAGGCCAAAGTGGGTGGATCACTTGAGGCCACAAGTTCAAGACCAGCCTGGCCAAGTGAAACCCTATCTCTACAAAAAATACAAAAATTAGCCAGGCATGGTGGAGGGTGCCTGTCATCCCAGCTACTGAGGAGGCTGAGGCAAAAGAATCACTTGAACCTGAGAGGCAGAGGTTGCAGTGAGCCAAGACTGTGCCAACGTATTCCAGCCTAGGTGATAAAGCAAGACTTCAGGTCAAAAAAAAAAAAAAAAGGAAATAAATAAAATAAAATATGCATATACACACATATAAAATATATACTTATGTAAGTGTTTATACCTATATAAAAGCGGCATATAGATATATAAAGATATTTGGATACATATATAAAGACATTTATATACCTCCATAAAGATACACACACATGTACATATAAAGTGTGTATATATATTTCTAATGTAAATAAAGGTATATACACAAAAAGGGATAAGTGCACATAAAGAAATTTATACACACATATAAAGATACATACATGTGAATATATAAATATACACATACACATATAAAAGCATATACGCATAAAGGTATATATGTACATATATAAAGCTATGTATAAGTAAAGGGATATATTTAATTATATATGTAAAGATGTGTATTTATATAACATACACATAAAATATAAAAATGTATATGTATTCAAAGATACACATAAATATATGTTAAAAATATATAGATATATTAAAAGATATACATATAGATACATAATATATAAAAGCCTATATTGGTATATAAATATACAGACATACACAAATATAAAACATGTATGTGTATAAAGATATATAAGCATGTGTATAAAGTCAGAAATATACATATATAAAAACATAAAAAATCCATATACATGCGTATGTAAATGTGTTTATGTAGATTTAAAAGCACATAGAGACACAAATATAGATGTGCGAACTTCCGTGTACACGCAGATGGAGGTGGCTAAGCACGCATGTGCATGAAGCTGTGTCGAGGCACAGACAGCCACACTTCCGCATGTGGAGTCTAAGCAGAAATGCCCACACGTGTTTCCATGGAGCCTCCAGTTGAATCTGTTCATTTTGTTTCCATCCCGTCCACCAGCCCGGAGAGGCGAACAGATGCCCAGACCGCGACGCCACTGATGCAGCCACGGGGCCTTCTCGTCAGCCCCTGCACCAGCCTATCGTCCGCCCGTGACCAGCTTTGCCCCTGGACTGGGCGTCCCTCTCTCCCGAACCTCAGGCCTCTCACCACCCTCTCAGCAAATCCACGTGTCCCGCCTGCAGAGGCTCAGCACCTACCTGCAGGTGGCCTGGGCCTGGGCGGGTAGTGTCCGTCATTGCGGTCCCCATCATTGAAGTAACCTGTGGGCAGAGCACACGGCGTTGCTAACGTGCCCTCTCCAGAGGGGGCACTGGGGCAGGTTTTGGAGGAGAGCGTTCCGATGCCAACGAACTCTTGGCAGGATGCCCACAGGTACCAGGCATTAAATGACCTTGCGGGCGGCCGCCCAGCCTGCAGGAGGCATGTGCAGGGCCAGGACGGCGGCAGGGTGGCCTCATAATGTGGACGCTTGCCCCTCTTGTGCTCAAAGCCCTCCCAGGGCTGACCGTGAGCTGGGGTGCAGCTCGGGCTGTGGTGTCTGCCTGCTGCCTGGACCCCTCTCTCGGGGTGCCCATCTCACAATCCCCTGCCCTTCCCTCCTTCCCTGGATGTTCCCGGTGCTCCTGCCTCTGGACCTTTGCACGCCCCTTTCCCTCTGCTCCCTCCTGGCCGTCCTTCCTGGATGAGCCAGCGTCGCCTGTCACCACGTCCCTGTCCAGCTCTCCTTCTGCCCCGCTGCCACCCAGGCCGTCCCCTGCTCAGAATCCTCCACCATCATCTCCTATCCTGCCCCCAGTCCTGAACCAAGCCTGAAGGAGATGTGGGGCTTTTCCTTCTCTCCTGACGGCTCCTCTTGTTCCATCAAACGAGGCACCCGCCCCGGGCTTCGCCATCACCACAGGCAGGCTCCTAACCCCCTGCTCACCCTTGCCCCTGGTGTTGGCACTGGCCGATTCCCCAGGCAGAATTCCAGCTCCCCAGGTCCCCACAACACACTCCCTTTTTCCCTTTCAAGTTCCTGCTCACAATTTTGTCTAAAACCAGCACCATCCCTCCGTCTCTCTTGGCATCCAGGGCACCACCGCTGCCCACCCCAGCAGACTTGTTTCATCCATTTCTTCCTGCTCATTGCTGCCCCGACACGAGACCTACCTGCGTCCTCCCCAAAAAACAAAGAGGTATGTGCAAGACAGAGAAGATCCCAGAGCCCTGAGACTCCGCCTGAGAGCTTTCTCAACACCCAAGGCCACCCGCAAGCCTCATTTCCTACAATGTCCTTTGTGGCCCTCACAAACGTCCCACTGCCGCATTCCCCTGGGCCTCCGCCCTCTGACGGCCTCTGCCACGGACTCAGCTACTTCAGGCTCAAATGAGAGCCAAGGAGACCTTCCTCGTATGCTTCCTGGACTCCTGATTAAGCCTTGAACCCTGCCTTTCCTCTCCAAGACTGGCGCATAGAGAAGTAGTTAGGTCTCTGGGCGTCTATAAGAAATCCATGCTCACGTGCACCAGCATCACTGTGGGGCAGGAAACTGCCGAGTGGGTTTATGAAACACGTGAGAGGTCAGGCAGCTGCGGTGGCTCACGCCTACGGGCGCAGCTCGTTGGGCGGTGAAGTCCGGAGGATTGCTTGGTGCCAGGAGTTGGAGAGCAGCCAGGACAGAATGGTAAGACCCCCTGTCTCTACAAAAAAATGTGCTGAGTGTGGTGGCTTTCCCCTGCAGTCCTGTCTGCAGTAGGCCCAGCTGGGGGAATCACTTGAGCTCAGGAATTGGAGGCTGCAGTGAGCTATGATCACACTGCATTTCAGCCTGAGTAGCACAGAGACTCTGTAGAAAGAAGAAAGAAAGAGAGAGAGAGAGAGAGGGAGGAAGGAAGGAAGGAAGGGAGGGAGGGAGGGAGGGAGGGAAAAGAAAATGTATGAAATGCAAAAGCAGGGTGGTTGTGCTTTGTCTTAGCAGGAACGCTGCCTCAGCAAGGACCTTCCAGCCTTTGGGGCTGCCTGCGGGCAAGCGAGTGCCTCTAATCGGATCCTGCAGCGGCACAGGCCTGTGAAGCTGAAGTCCCGGTAGCACGCGCAAAGGTTCTGGGGAGTGCAAGAGCCATTGCACTTGGCTTAAAAGGCTGTTTCCTAGGGCTGCGCGCAGGGCTCACGTCGGTAACCCAGCACTTTGCGAGGTCAAAGCGGGAGGATCACTTAAGGCCAGGAGTTTGTGACCAGCCTGGGCAACATAGCGAGACCCTGTCCCTAAACACACAAACAAACAACAACAAACAAAAAGGAAAAATTAGCCAGGTGGGGTGGTGTTTGCCTGTAGTCCCAGCTACTCAGGAGGCTGAGGTGGGAGGATTGCTTGAGCCCAGGAGGTGGAGGCTGCAGTGAGCTGTGATCCCGCCACTGCATTTTAGCCTGGGCAACCCAGTAAGTCCCTGTCTCAAAACAATAATAAAAACACGAACGTTACTAAAACAGCTTTTTAATTTTCGTTTTTATTTATTTTTGAGATGGAGTCTCACTCTGTTGCCCGGGCTGGAGTGCAATGGCATGATCTCAGCTCACTGCAGCTCTGACAGAATTCCACCTACCAGGTTCAAGAGATTCGCCTGCCTCAGTCTGTCAAGTACAGGTGTACACCATCATCCCTGGCTAAGTTTTGTATTTTTAATAAAGGCGAAGTTTCACCATGTTTTCCAGGCTGCTGTGGAATTCCTGACCTCAAGTGATCTGCCTGTCTTGTCTTACCAAAGTGCTGGGATTACACGCTTGAGCCACGGTACGTGGCCCAAAACACTTATAAAATTGTTTTCATACTTATTACCAGGCTGGGCCACAACAGCTAGCGCTTGTAATCGCAGCATTTTGGGAGGCTGAGGGAGAGTATTGTTTGAGGCCAGGAGTTCAAGACTAGCCTAGACAACATAGCGAGATCCTGTCTCTGAAAAAAAAATTAAAAAGAGTTGTGTATGGTGGTGTGCATCTGTAGTCCCAGCTACTTGAAAGGCCGAGGGAGGAAGATCACTTGAACCCAGGAGACCGAGGCTGCGATCACATCACTTCACGCTGGCGAGGGCAAAAGAGCGAAACCCTGTCTCCAAAGTAAATAATCAAATAAAATACTAAAATAAATCAATAAATAATACTCATTACCTCCACTGTTGCCGGAATTGCCGGGCTGGGGCTGCGGGCGTGGCTTCAGCGTTGGGTAGATAACTGTTGGAAAACAACAGGACGGCTTTAGAAACATAATGACATATTTCAGGTAGCTATCACCTATAAATAAGAATGCCAAAACAGAAAGGATGTCACTGCCCATCCCTTTTACAGAGCTTATTAATCATATAGACAATATTCACAACACTATTTCAGAGCTTACAATTAAAAAACACCTTCACTGTGTACTCTAAGCTTACCCACTGGTGCTTCCAGCAAGGAATCTGCAGATCTCTGAGATTAGCAGGGCAGAAAGTCTTCTGTTGACGTTTCCCCGTTTAGGGCTATTACAAACGTCAGTCACCAATATGAGGATGAAAGCATCTGACCCTTTGCTAGTGTGTCATATTTCCATCTCGCTGGTTCGCACCCTCTCATTTGAATTTGTTTGGTTCTTGTTTTGAAACAGGGTCCTGCTCTGTGGCCCAGGCTCGAGTGCAGTGGGGAGATCATAGCTCCCTGCAGCCTCGACCTCCTGGACTCAAACGATCCTCCCACCCCAGCCGCCCATGTAGCTCAGACTACAGGTTCACAGCACCATGTTTAGCTAATTTTGTTAATTTCTGTGGAGACAGGGTCTTGCTATGTTGCCCGGGCTGGTCTCAAATTCCTGGCCTCAAGCAATCTTCCTGTCCTGTCATCCCAAAGGGCTAAGAGCCTAGGGATGAGCCACACTGAGCCCGGCTTCATTTAAATTTCTTAAAACTTTTGCCATGACTTTTGCACGTTTGTGAAGTTTACTAGGAGCTTCGTCTCACAGAGACCCTTCTTTATTTTTTTTTTTTTAAGATGGAGTCTTGCTCTTTTGCCCAGGCTGAAATGCAGTGGCAAGATCTCGGCTCACTGCAACTTCTGCCTCCTGAATTCAAGCCATTCTCCTGCCTCAGCCTCCCGAGTAGCTGTTATTACAGGCGTCCGCCACCACGCCCGGCTAATTTTTCTATTTTTAGTAGAGATGGGTTTCACTATGTTGTTCAAGCTGATCTCAAACTCCTTACCTCAGCTGATCCGCCTGCCTCGGCCTCCCAAAGTGCTGGGATTATGGGAGTGAGCCACCTCGTCCAGCACTGCCCCAGGACTGTTGCAGGTGACATTCTTTCTGCCATGACCTCCCTCCTGTTCCCTGTCCATCACTTTACACACTCCCTAAGTATTTGAAGAACCCACTTGTCACCTGGAAAAGCATTAGCTCATCCCTCCTGTCCCAGCTTAAATGTCCCTTGACCCTACTGAAGCAGCCAAAATGAGATCATCGATGCCAGCTCTTTGCACAATGTGAGTCTGTATCTCCAGTACATTTTTGTTGCTGGACTAGAAACTTTATTTTCTGTACCCATTTTATATTCCTCTACCTGGCACTCCCAGTACCTGGCAAGTGCTTACCCACCTTGGGTCAAGATGCAATTACGTTAATTCACAAAAAAAGCCATCCATATTGTTCTCAAAGTCCTTCTTCAGAACAGACATCAGAACATTGGAAATCTGGGCTGAGAGTGACTGGTTTGTCACTTCTCCGAACAGTTTCTTTCTCTTTTTCTTTGTCTCTCTCTAGAGACTGGTTCTTACTCTGCTGCTCAGGCTGGAGTGCACTGGTGCAATCATAGCTCACTGCAGCCTCCACCTCCTGGGCTCAAGTGATCCTCCTCCTGCCTCAGCCTCCAGAGTATAGCTGGGACTACAGGCGTGGACCACCATGTTCTGCCTGGATTCTAATTTTTCCTTCTTTTCTGAGATGGAGTCTTGCTCCGTCGCCCAGGCTGGAGTGCAATGGTGCAATCTCAGCTCCCTGCCATCTCCTCCGCCCAGGTTAAGGCAATTTTCCTACCTTAACCTCCAGAGTAGCTGGGATTACAGGTGCACAGCACCATGCCTGTGTAATTTTTGTAGTTTCAGGTAGAGACAGGGTTTTACCATGTTGGTCGGGCTGGTCTTGAACTCCTGACTTCAGGTGATCCACCCACATCGGCCTCAGAAAGTGCTGGGATTACAGGTGTGAGCCACTATGCCTGGCCTAGACTCTCTTTCGAGGCCTCTCAAATGAAACAGCTG